TTGGAGTAAGTTGCCCCTTTACCCCTAACTACTTGAATTTGCTCCTAATGACAAGAACATTCATTTAAATACCCACAGTACAACAATCAAAACCACAAAGTCAACATTGATACAGTATTGTATTATCCATGTTGTTTAAATTTCACCAATTTTCCCAATAATGTAGTAAATCCCTGTGTAGCAACATCAAGAACCACTGGACCTACGTCCATGGGCTGAGCCCTGGCTGTACAATAGTAGAATCACCTGGGGTGGAGAGGAACTTTTAAAAACTACAGATGCCTACCTCTAGAAATTGGATTGATTGGCCAAGTCGTGTGTATTTGTGCGTCTGTGTGCATGGTTACTCTGATACACAGTTAGTGCCGAAACCATTGATCTAAGCTAGTGTATGGTCACTTCCTTTCATTTCTTCCTTGTTTGTCAGTTCCCATTAGCTCTGGGTGGGTATACTGGTTTGAATAGTGTTCCCTAAAAGTTCATATTAGGAAGTGACCTTATTTGAAAATAGGGGTTTTGCAGATGTAATCAAGTTGAGTCATGTTGGGTTAGGGAGGGCACTAAATCCTATGACCAATGTCCTTCAAGAGGAGAGAGATTTGAAGACATAGAGACCCACAGAAAGGAAGGCCCGGTGATGGGGCGGAGTGTGAAATGATGCTGCTATAAGCCAAGTAATACCAAGGATTGCTGGGAGCCAGCAGAATCTAGAAAAAGGCAAGGAAGGATTCTCCCCTAGAGCCTTCAAAAGTAACAAGGTGCTGCTGAACATTTCAGATTTCTAGTCTCCAAATCTGTGAGAGAATTAAATTTCTGCTGTTTACCTAACGAAGTTTGTGGTAATTTGTTACTGTAGGAAAATAATGTAGTGGTCAAGGGACCTAGTTAAGAAAAGATGGCCCAAGGGCAATTTTATTGGGTCATTTGACAGCTTTTCCTTCCTAATAATCAAAGACTCACAGGAGTGTGGTAGTCTTTAGGGTTGGCTGGTGGGGGCGCCTGGGAGGATTACACTTCTCTGGCTCTTAGAGAGAAGTGTGGCTTGTAAACAGATTCTTGAGGTATCTTCCAGGATAGGCTAGATTATGCTTGACACTTCTGGGTGTACCTTTACAAGACCGTGGGTGATTCAAACCGTACTCTCATTCTCTGACGCAGAGACCAGTGATGCTTTAGATGGCGATTGTTTGGATGGACAGGGCCTGGGAGTAAGATGGTTTGCTGGGAATCCCCCAAACCTACTTGCTACAGGTTTCAGGTGAGACTCTTGATTTTGTTCTTGCCACAAGGGGCAAGGGAGTAGAGGTTAAGGTTCCTGGATTTTAATGGGCTTTTGTTGCTAAATATTTCTCAGTTTTATCTTTTACCAATAGAACTTGTGAAGCAGTTGCCTCTTCCAACCCTAAAAGTCCCTGAACTTGTGGACTCTATTCCCTTCCATCTCTGCTTGCAAACTGGTCAATTCTTTTGTAAGCCCATCTCTTTCTTATAATGTCTTGTCAAACACTAGCAAAAGCAGCCAACATGTAACGCTAACCTTGTGTTTTCAGCATCTTCTCTTGGAGTGATAAGTTCCAAGTTAGGTATGTCTTCTCTCAGTGGCAGCCTTGTCAAATATTTGCTGTCATAAAAGGGATCATCTTCAATTTTGGTCAACACCAATGCTTTGGTCAACAGCATCCACCTTGCCCCTCCCAGCCTCTAAGCCAGTGTACCTATTTTAGTTTTTTATTTCATCAGCAACATTCTTCTAGTATCTTCTATGATTGTCTAGGTAACAAATAACCCTCAAAAAAATCTTAGTGGTTGGCCGGGCGCGGTGGCTCATGCCTGTAATCCCAGCGCTTTGGGATGTTGAGGTGGGTGGATCACGATCACCTGAGGTCAGGAGTTTGAGACCAGCCTGGCCAACATGGTGAAGCCATGTCTCCACTAAAAATACAAAAAATTAGCTAGGCTTGGTGGCGGGCACCTGTAAACCCAGCTACTCAGGAGGCTGAGACAGGAGAATCACTTGAACCCAGGAGGCAGAGGTTGCAGTGGGCCAAGATCATGCCACTGCACTCCAGCCTGGGCAACAAGAGTGAAACTCCATCCTCAAGAAAATAACAGCCGGGCGCGGTGGCTCAAGCCTGTAATCCCAGCACTTTGGGAGGCTGAGGCGGGTGGATCACGAGGTCAGGAGATCGAGACCATC